CACAGCAGTCGCGATATGGCTGCCTTCTACAACTTGATTCGCTAAGTCGGTGTGACTGTGGGCAATGAATACTCCTGGCTGATGGGCATCACATGGCTCATGGAAGCTGTAGAGATCACCTCTATTCCTCTGACGGCAGGAAGCAGTTTGTCAAAGCATGCGAGGACTGTTGAGCGGAGTTCGTGCGACCCAAGGCGTGAATACCGGTGTCAACATTGCGTACATGAGAGTTATCAACTTTGCTGCAGACAGACTCTGTCCGACATCGGAAACCAAGAAGTAAGTGTTTCAGCCATTGTGATGACGCGGTCGCAGTACTCTCAAGTTGACTGCGTGGTGTGCTCATGTTCTATTGTGTTGAGGAGGCTGGCTTCGAGGCCTTTGTCTAGCCTTTTCTGAAACCCTAAGCCCAAACGCCAAAACCCTAAATTTGCGAAACCCCGCAACCCTAAAACGCTATACCTTTCACCTAGAACCTCAAACCCGAGAGAAACCCTGACCATGTCTGAAACTCTAGTTTAAAAGCCGCACACCCGAAAACGCTGAACATAAAGCCCTGGGCCCCCTAACCAGAAAGAAAACCCTAACCCTATAAACTCCAAAACCCAAGCCCGGTTAGAACTCATGGGAGCCTAAAACCCCAAACCCGGCCCTTCTGAAACCCTACCTTAACCCCGAATAACCTACCTTTTAAGGACTTATATAAAGGAATCGTATCAGGGAACGCTAAAAAGGTAGGTTATTTGGGGTCCAGGTAAGCCCTCAACTCCAAAGCCCAAGCCCGGTTAGAACTCATGCGGGCCTGAAGCCCCAAACCCGGTCCTTCTGAAACCCTAAGCCCTAAACTCCAAAGCCCGCCTGCCCAATACGGGCTGAGAGAGCCTAGCGTGACCTCAAAAAGGCTCTCAAAAAAAAACTCCAAAGCCCAAGCCCGGTTAAGACTCAGATAACGAATATTAGGGGACTTATAACCCCACTTATCGCTACCCCTGAACCTGCAAAGCCCAAGCCCGGTTAAGACTCAGATAACCCATATTAGGGGACGTATAACCCCACTTATCGCTACCCCTGAACCTGCAAAGCCCAAGCCCGGTTAAGACTCAGATAACCCATTTAGGGGACGTATAACCCCACTTATCGCTACCCCTGAACCTGCAAACCCAAGCCCGGTTAAGACTCAGATAACCCATATTAGGGGACTTATAACCCCACTTATCACTGCCCCTGAACCTGCAAAGCCCAAGCCCGGTCCAGACTCATGAGAGATCTGAGGCCATTGGAGACCTCCTCAAACCGGCCAGCTTTGGAGGATCTTCCCAGTTGGGGTTTGGGGGTTCGGGGTTTAGGCTTTATATTAGGGGTTTAGGGTTTAGGGGTTTAGGGGTTTAGGGTTTATATAGGGGTTTAGGGGTTTGGGGTTTAGGGGTGTGAGGGTTTAGGAGAGAACAGCTTTGAGGGATCATTGAGTTTTTCTATGTGTTGGTGAATGGTTGCCTCACACAAGGGTTCGTTTAAAGGTTTCGACAATGGTTTCGTAAGGGGTTTCTTTTTGGAAGGTTAGCTATGTACCTGCGCAGTCAGACATATGCTATACGGCACATACTGATTACTCATGTACCGCAACTTACAACGGAGTCGCTATAGCTACATTTGACCAAAGTGTGACTTTCACAGGCCTTCGCGGCTTTGTGGCATGGGGGTTCATGAGCTGTTTACCAGTGTTTCCACAGGTTGAGAGATTTGGTTCAGGGTGTTGGGCGTATTCCTTTGCCGGGCTTCGTTGTCCAGGGTTTGGGTCAGGGCCTGCAGGGTTAGGCTCTGAGGGCCAGTGGGGCTTAGTTTGTTGGGGTCTAGGGTCGTGGGCTGGAGGCGCATCGCTGTTGTGGTGCCTTGTGTATTCATATCTTGGTGGTCCAGGTCCAGGTTGTGAGGTGAGCTCAGTTTTGAAGCTGTTGATGCTTGGATAGGTAACCGAATTTTGAAGCCATGATATTTCAACAGCTGGGGCTTATTAATCAGCTGCACCAGCCGTCTACGCGGTTCACTGCCACATAACACTCTGCGGTTCAAGATTTAGGAGGGTTAAGTAAAGTTTACAGCCAACGTGGGATTTAGGAAATTTAGGGAGGTTTAAGTTTAGGGCTAAGCGTAGGGTTTACATCTCCCTGGAAAGCATCAACCTATTATGTATTGTACTCGTAGGTGACGCTTTCAATCTAGGACTTCAAAGCCCTTGAGCCTGCCTTGAACCCACCCGGACCCCAAAATATCCACGCCCTGGTACAAATCGGATCTCCAAGCCCTGCAACACCCAGAGTCTCACCCTTCAACCCTCAATCTAGGGTTTACCTATAGCTTCCGTTGTAGTTCCTTTTTTTCTGGCTTAACCAAATATAATTAATTAGTTAGGATCCTATAAGGTAACCCCCAAAAGGAACTACAATGGACACTATAGGTAGGATTCAGGGCCACGAACCCTGACAGATGGCAACCCTGTCAAGCGTTCCGGCGGCTTCCCTGCAGGCATGGCCGCAGAGAGGTCGGCAACCAGTGCATCCCCCAGAGATGCTCCAACTTGTCTTCAGCATGCAGGGATATGCAGGGTGGGGCCGGGGCTTGGCATCGGGTTTAGCATCTTGGCCTTAGGGTGGATATTTAGAGAAGATCCTGGATTTATAGGGGTGCAAGAGTCGGGAGAAGCTCAAAATCGACCGCTGTAATAGGAACTCTGTTGGAGTTAATTTTCCGGGGTTCAGGGTTGAGGTTGGAGGGTGTAACAGATGTTAGGGTTCAGCGGTTGGGTTTGGATCTTGAGAGAGAGTGAGAAGCCATGTGCGAGCTGTCCGAGTGACTACGTGGTTTTGGACCTTGCACCCCGAACTAGTAAGGGTTAGACCAAGAATCCTGCTACTAAGTTTACCAAGTCCGTGCAACACCCAGTGGGTGTATGGATGGGGCGTCCTTAGCCCTAGACCCCGAACCTTTGTCAACACATCATCAGCCTTTGTCATCCAAGCCCATTCGGGAGCACTGGAAAGAAAACTTCGGACCTTCGGACCCCACCCTGAACCGAAGAACTCCAAGTGTAGCGTTTAGGATCGGGGTATTAGGGTTTAATGTTGAGTTATAACTACCCCCCCGCCTCAATTACAAAATTCGATCGCCAAGGACTCATCATAACACCGTCTCAAGTACAAACCGCGACCGCCAGAACTCAATTGTAACCCCCTCTCAATGACAAAACCCGATCACCGGAAGTCAATATTAATCCCGTCCCTGGTTCCTAAAACAGCCTTGAGGCCCTTTCGTCAGCCCCCCCCCCCCCCCCGAGTCGCAGAGAAAGTCAGCGAGCAGTACTGGGACTCCCCCTCAATACTATCGGGGCCTTAATAGTTAGAATTGGGTTTGGGGGCCCATGATACCATAACTATAATAAGGAACTTCCATGGAATTGGGTTTTGGAACGGCCCATTATACTAACATTATGATGAGGAACCACCAAAATAATATAGGAAGTTGCTTAAGCTCCTACATCTATCCCCCATCTGGCCCCATCTCATTCGAGGCGGCTCTGTAAGGAACATGTTCAGGGATCCTTGATAGCATCTTTCATTCTATCACCAACAGTAGTATGATTGTTGGACTCTCTTGGAGAACCATGGGTAGTCATAAGTGGGATTACAAGTAGGGTAACTATATCATATCCCATACTAGGGGACTTATCACCCCACTTATAGCTACCCTAAACCCCTTACCCTATAGAACCCTTACAAAACCTTAAACCCTAAACCCTATAGAACCCCTAAAAGAACCCTAAACCCTCCAAGCTCTGGCACCGATTCGCAGGTTCGCGCCAAGCATTCCCTGGCGTCACAGCCGGCAACTCAAAGCTATAGGGGCTTAAACCGTTACCTGTACTAGTTTGAAGGGTTCCTCATGGTAGCTGTAGTATATTATACCCCAAAACCCTATTCAATGCTTCGACTTCTGCAATCTATTTGCAGCAAGTTATAAATTATTGCATTCTTTACATTTGTTTGTACACATTCTTTGGGGATGCACACGTCGTCCTTCGTTTCGCTCTTCGTCGACAGGCTTTCGCCCGCATCCAACCCCAAAGCCCTATTCTAGTTATAAAGGCCCATATATTATGCCCTTAGGCTGTCTAGGATACAAGGCGTTCAGCACTTGGGATTTGCCAGCCCAGGGTTTTGGAGCTAAATCCTTGGACCATCCTGCCCTATTCACCGCTACACCCCGCCTAAGACATGGAGTGCGGACCCTGGAACCCTAAAGTTCCCAAAGCCCTGTACTCTAAACTCTAGAACCCTAAACCTGAAGCCCTAAAAAGGACTCTAGAACCCAAGAGACGTCAACACAACTTTAATTAAGCAAAAATCTCTAGAACCCACGAGCCCCAGGCACGGGCACCCTAAGCCTTAAACTCTCGAACGCTTCTAAACCAAGCCTCAACCCCGACCCAAGGCTCCGAAACCCGAAACTGAACTGCGGAGCCCGGAACCTCTAGACCCTCAAACTCTAGAGCCTAAACTCCTAAACCCTAGCCATTTTGGCTCAAGGGCTCAAGGGGGGTCTCTGTCCTTGAAGGGTTGCCTCTTGCCTTCCGGGGGGCGTGCATGGGCAGCTGGTGATCCTTGGGGCGGCGGTGATTCTCCGATCCTTCCAGGGCTTCCTAGTGGGCTTCTTCTTTGTGCGGGGCTCGATTCGGCACTTTGACTGCCGTCATGAACGCTGGTGGTCCCTTACGCATTGGACTACCTGGTCAACCGTTGCCTGCCCTGCCTGAGGATGATCCTGATCTCAACAGTCCTGCAAAGAGAGGGAGAACTCATCAGCCCGATGCAGCACCGACGCCGCAAAGTCTTACGACTGATGCTTTCCGACTCCTGCTCCAAGAACAGTCTCGAACTTTGCTGCAGGCTCAGAAAGAACAACTGGATGCTGCTCTCACTGATCTCGAGACGCGACAATCTGCTAAGATGGATGTCTTGGAAGCCAAGGTTGATACACAGCAGAGCCAGTACAATGAACTCATGCAACAGGTTCGTGAGATGGGTGACAGGGTCCACATGCTTGAGAGTCGCGGAGGAAATGAGGGCGGTCGTGGGGTTGACAGGCGATTGACTTTGATCTTCGGTGGCTGGCCAGCTCAGACACGCAGAGGGACCATTCTTGGTCAGCTTGAACAGGCCATTCAGGCGCTTGGTCTGGCAGCTGAGTTTGACCAAGCTCCTTTCACGACGGGCCCTCGTCGCTCCGTGGCGATGGCAAACTTTGTCTCCCGCGCCCACGAGAAGGACGGCGATGTGCGAGTGAGAATGATGAAGGTCCTTCAAACTACCAACAATGCGAAGGTAGAGTTGCAGGGGGGAGTCAAATCCTTGTGGTGCTCTTTTTCGCGGTCTCCTTTGGAGCGAGGGCGAGCGGCAGTGGCCGCAGTGGTCAAGAAGGCCGTGATGAGGCATGCAAGCCACCGTGCAGCTGACCTGGACGTGGAATATAGCAGTGGCAGCACGTGGATTCGCGAGGACCAACTCTCAGGTATGGGGCAGCCACCGGATCAGATTCGGAGGGCCAAAACACTCGAGACGAAGGCTGGTGCTGCGTGGCTTGACGTTCACACCTTGGCCAAGTGGTTGGAGACAGATCGGAGTGTGGTCGAGGCCTTGATTGAGGAGCATCGCTTCTGATTGCTGGGGCTGTCGCCTGAGACCGAAATGCATGAAAGCCGGAATTCACCTTCTTCATCTTTTCTTCCTTGTCCTGATCCGCTTCAGTCGGCAAATCCCGGAGCTGCCAGCCAGTGCAATTCCGAAGGGTTCAAGATTCTGGGGTGGAACATTGGCGGTGCTGAACTACATCTCTTGTCTAAGGCAATCCAGGATGGTTCTCGACAGACTCTGCTGCAAAATGACTTGGTGCTCTTGCAAGAGTTGCCCAGGGAAGCTGAGGGATGGAACTATTCGAACTTCCAAGGTAGGCGGCTTGTTGCGCATAGGCACAAAGATCAGTGGAGAGGAACCGGTCTTTGGGTTGATGAACGTGCCTGGTGTATCCTCAGGAAGATCTCGACGATCAAGGGCACAAGGTTCAAGGTCAGGCACCTCTCCCAGAATTTAGAGCTGTGGCTTGGCACTGCGCACTTTTCACCTGGGTGTACGGTTCAGCGTTTTGAGGAAGAAGCTCATGCACACTTCTCGAGTCTGCCAAGGTCCGCACAGAGAGTTGTCTTCCAAGGGGATGTCAACACAGGGTTTACTTGGGAATCGGATGAGTCAGGCTGTCACCCCATTGCGAAGGAAGGGAAAGGGAACATCCTCCACCAGATGTGCCTCGAACGAGGGTTGACCTTTCTCTCACCTAGCACCTCGTGTCTTCATCTACCGTCAAGTCGACCTCGTCAGGAAGATCGTGAAGGGCAGCTCATTGATCTTTTTGTTGGCATGCGTGCTTCGTGCAGGGGGGTCCAGATCTTTGAGGACTCGTACATGTGCTTGGGCACCGACCATGAACTTGTTCAGGCTAGGTTCGTTTTTCCCGGTGGGCAAAAAAGGGTTAGATATTCCACTCAACCCAGGGTTTGGTCGGGGGTGCTTCACCAGATTGACCACCTCGACCAATCCACACTTGAGCGCCTTGCCAGACAACACACACGACCTGCGGCGGGCAATGCCTACAGGGACACGGATGAAGTGAAGAATGCTTTCAAGGAGGCTAAGAGGCGGGGGACGGCTGCTCTGTGGAAAAGTGCACTCAAGCTCCGCAAAGAAGCACGGCAGAAGTGGGAAAAAGAGCGGCTTTTGAAAGCTAGCCGGGGGGATTGGGGTTGTTTCAAAGCCTTCAAGAAGCCACGACAAACTGGGTGGGACATTGCCTTTGCCGAGTGCCAGTCCACGGATCCACACACCGCCATCCATGAACACCTGGCTGGAGTGTATCAAGCACCTGCACCACCGCCGCAGGTCCCTTGGAAAGGGGATGTTGTTGCATTCACACTTGAGGAGCTCAGAAAGGCGTTGTCGCAACTCAAGAAGGGCAAATCGGTAGGCATTGACGGGACATCGGCAGAACTTCTCCAGGCAGTATCCCAGGTGCCTGGTGGTGAAACCCACCTCTTGGAGTACTACAATCGCGTGCTCAGCACGCAGCAAATCCCGGACCGATGGAACGAGCCCCTGATGGTGCTCCTCCCCAAGATTGCTTCACCCCAGACGGCTCGTGACCTCCGGCCCATCGCCATGTCCAGTGCTGTGGGGAAATTGTTTAGCAGACTCTTGTTGAACCGAGCTTTAGCCAAGATTGCGCCGACTACGTGTGCGCAATGTGCTGGTCAACATAGGCAAAGTGCTGACTACCTGTACACAGCCTTCCGCACGATGGAGTTGGCACGTGAATGGGTAGCAATATTTAAGCTCGACCTTGAGAAGGCCTTTGATAAGTTGGACAGAGGGGCTCTTCTTGGTCAACTCGAATCCCGCCTTGGACAGGGTGCTGAGCTTGAATGTTGGAAAGGGTTATTATCCACCACCCGAGGGCATCTCCAGACTCCATGGGGTGACAGTGTCATCGAGATGAACAAAGGGATAAAGCAGGGGGCAATCGAGTCTCCAAGCTTTTTCGGTCATGCTGCTGAGGTTGCACTCGCCTTTGCTGTCCAGTCCGATGCCTGGAAGGCGCCTAGGGTCCTAGAGGGCATGGAGGCAGAGGAAATGCTCTTTGTTGATGACGGACTGTTGTGGAGCAGATCGTGTAGCATGGTGCAAAAGAGGGTCGAAGGGCTTGCTGATGAACTTGCTAAATTCGGGCTTAGCATCAACCCTGGTAAGTGCCAGCTCTATGTGACCGCAAACGTCGAGGACGGACAGTCTGTGAGGGTTCGAGGGTTTGAGGTCAAGGCGTCTGACCACATCGAGGTCATGGGGATCAAGATGAGGGTTGGCATCTCCATCTATGAGTTGGTCGCTCCACTTGCAATGAGGGCTCGCAACAAATTTTGGGAACTCAAACATGTCTTTCGGAGCCGCTCCGGGATGAAGTCCAGGGTGAAGCTTATGCAAAAGGTGGTGGGGGCCACTGCTCTGTGGTGTATCTCAGCCTTCCCGCCCGACTCTGCTGCTATGTCCATGCTTAACTCCACACAGTTGCAGCTTATGGTCTGGCTGCTGCGATTTGCCAAGAAGCCTGATGAGAGTTGGGAATTCTACCGCAAGCGTGCTTTCAGAGGGGCCCGCAGTGCGCTCCACAGTGCAGGAGTGGAACGCTGGTCGACCCTCTGGCTTCGCCGCTACTGGACTTTCGCAGGCCACAGGGTCAGAGGGTTGCTTGCGGAGAGTCCGGTGATCAGCTGCCTGTATGAAGATTTTCGGACAGGATCATGGTGGCAGGTTGAGAAGAAACGCAAGAAGGGATATAAACACTGTCAACACTACCCAAGACTCTCGAACCTCGAGAAGGATATGAACGCAGTGGCTGGAGGGCCTTGGAGGGTTCAAGCTCACAACAGACAGATTTGGAAACAATTGGAAGAGTCGTGGATCAACAAGATGGACTTACCCTGGGCATCAGGAAGGCAACTTTCGGTTAAGGATCGCTAGTTGTCACTCACTTTGAATGGTTCGAATGTACAGGACGACGTGGGCTTTGTGTACAGGGTTTGGCATGCCATGCGATTTCAGAGTTCTGAGCATGTGAAGGTTTGCTGCCTGATGGCTCAGCTTCTGACGACAGAGTCGGCTAGCTAACACTGTGTGTGACGTGACGTCATGCTCATGTTCTATATTCTCTTCATGTTTGCCTCATGGGCGCCCTTGCGGGCAACACTTTGGTCGAGACTCCCTCAGGGACGGCGACCTCATACTCCAAAGGGTTTGGGACCACGTCAACCGGGATGTGGCCCTCGACTGGTGAGAACATCATGTGTACTTCGATTTCGCCGGGTGTTGAGCTGATGGGCGATGTATGCCCCTCCTTTGGGACAGAACGACCTCGGCATGCATTGGAATTCAATCAGGAATGTGGCACCCTACCAAATGAGAGCTGGGATGAGGTATGTGAACCTTGCGACATGGACCACGTCGAGGTGAAGACTCCTGCTGAACATGAACAAGATCGGCGGGTGCACGGCTCCCTGGACTGCTCGCCTTACACGATTCTGCCAAAGAGCCACGTGATCTTGCCGAACTTTGATCTCACCTCTGAATCCGACGAGGTGAGCCACTTCATGGTGCTTGGTCTCCTCCTGTTCCCACAGGGGGCGGCCTCGGTGGATGGACCCTTTTTCGAGAGGATCCCTGGGTGGTATGATCTCGTCCTTGACAATGGGATGTACCTGCAGGAAAGAGGGTCTTCCATTGAAGTGATTATGAGTGCGGTTGAGCGGGAGATTGAGGCTTTTGCGGACCCTACTTTCGAGCAAGAAACACGGCCCCAGATTCTTGGACTTCACCGTGCTCTTAATGGCAACACAGACGAGACTGCGTGGGAGAATGACCCGGTGACTCTCCAACAAGGGGCTCCCTCTGACGAAGAGTTGCGAAAATATGCTGCATATGCAGTCCGAAACATTCGAGATTGGTGGCATTGGCAGCGATGTCCGGTGGCTATGAGCAATCGGAGAATGGAGGCCCGATTGGACCATCTCGGCTTGGTTCACAACTCCTTGATTCCTTCCAGGCTCTATGATGAGGAGCAGGAAAGACGCGGCCTGAGCCGCTCTAGGTCACCCCAACGACCTCAGCGACAGCGTGATCGACCTGGGCGGAGGATGCAGGAGCAGGACGGAACCTCCATGGTGCAGAAGAGGAAACCACAGAGTACTAGGGATGAAGCTGTGATAACTAGACGACGAAGGTCAAGTGAGTGGATGCAGAGAACGAGGGCAACCTACCAGGAGCTCGGTGATGCCCGCAACCGTGCCCGAGCTAGGCGGGGACTTCTGGGTCATGTCTGCCGGCATGGAGGGCAAGAAGCGGCGGACTTCGCGGATGAGATCCTGGAAAATATTGAAGGAGGCGAGTTGGTCGCCTCAGCTGGGAGTTCTACAAGAGATCCTCTCCCCGTTGCAACCTGGGTACAGACCACGGCGGACGAAATTCTTCGGAGATGGGCGGCAAGGGCCACTGTGTATGGCGGGCCAGCTTCGTCGTCCTCGACTGGGATTGTTCCCACCACGACGGAAGACAGGCGACCGGTGGCAAGTTTGCTGCCGGCTGGTTTCCAACTTGATCCGCCTGGATCGGTTCCCTTCGGCATCTTCCATGCAGCCCACATTTGGCCGGATGGGACTTGGAGTACCCGAGGTGAGTTGCTGCGAATGGGCAGGACTGATCTTGTGCATGACCGCGGACCCGAGGAGACCGGCTATGAGGTTTTCCAAGAAAGGGCCAGGGGTGATGGTGCTCCCAGAGATGCTGAACGTGATCTGGAAGCGGAAAATGAAGAGGAGGATCCCTCCTCCCTGGTCCAAGGGGATGTCACAATCCACCCTGGGTGGCATCCTACATGGCCTCAGCTCATGGAACAGGTCTATGAGTGGCAACGCAGAGGGTTCAACATCTCCCCACTGGTTGACATGGTGCGTGGACTTGCTCACAGGCGGGCATGCCAAAGGTATCAGGAGTGGCTGAGGGGCCCGCTCCAAAGCATTGCCCTGAGTCTCGAGACCACAAGCAGATCAACTACAGCAGATCGG